TTTTTTGGGGGACCCAAGGGGGGGGAGGGAGCGGGGGAGGATCCCCCCAGGGATTTGCTCAAAAGGGTGAAAGGGGGGGAGCCCCGGGGGGCCCCCCGGGGAAGGGCCCGGAAGGGGAAAAAACTGGGGACCCAGGTCCGTTTTTTTTCTTTTTCCATTTTGCTGTTTTTCCCTTGTGGGGTTTTTGGGCTCGGGGCGGTTTTTTTTTGAGGGGTTTTTGGGGCCCCTTTTTTTTGGGGGGGGACTTTTTATGGGCAGGGAGCCATTTCCGGGGAAGATATCATTCCTTTTTGCCCCTTCCCATATGCCCCCCGGGGGGGGGGGGGGGGTATGCAAAAGGGTCGTGTTTGACAGGAACTGCTTCCAACCCTGCATCGTGTATGTGGACGTATGTGTACGGCACACTCTCTGTCGGACGCATTTGCAATATATCTGGGAGTATGTTTTACTTGAGACTTGACGTGTGTTGGAGAGCGCTGTTCCGTTCGCGTGCGCTTCTTCTGTTGACGGCGGTTTCGTGGACGACTCCAGCTTCACGAGCGAGGGCATGGTGTGCCCCCGACAATACCAGCAAAATAACCCTTAGTCTACTTAAGCCAGACTCTCGACCTGATTTTTTTTCAGCCACCGCTCACGCGGCCTTTGATTTCGGTTGGTTTCCGAAGGCAAAAGGGCAGCCGGGAGTTATTCCCACCTGACTGACACGGGTATGGGGCGGGTGTGCTAGGTGCATGTGTGTGGGGATATCTATACCTGATTTTCGAGGTATTTTGTACGTATACTTCTTTCTTTTTTTTGCGGTGTGCCCCCTTGTTCAAGTAGTTGGTCACGGAAGGCGTCACTTCAACCGTTAAGGATGTTAGTGAGAAGAAGACCGGAACGGTTTTCAATATGAAGACAAAACATCAATGCCGTGTTTTATTTTTGCCCAGGTTACGCGTAAGTCGTTCAAGGTGACAAGAGGGGGCTCGTACGCGGTGCGAAGGGTCAAGCGCCAGGCCGAGCTGACGAAGGAGATGCTGGCGAGCGGCAGCTGGAAGGACGCCGCCTTCAAGGAGTACAATTTCAAGACCCTGGGCGCGCCGTGCGGCGGCGGCAACCTGCACCCTCTCCTCAAGGTTTGTCGTTGGTGCTTGTTGTTGTTGTTGCTGTTGTTATTGTTGCTGGTTTCATCGTCGTTGATGTCTTCACGTTGGCGACCATAATCACCAGCGGCGCCGTGATCCAGTTTGGCGAATAGGCTGTGCATGTCTAGCAACGGCGAGGTTCTCACCCTTTACCGGCAAATAGGCTGATATGGGGGACAACATATTTTGCGTAGAGGCATACGAACCACTTCACAATCACAGCGTCAACATTGGCGGCGGACACGATGACGAGCAAAAACGAGTCGAGTTTCCCCGTGAGTGTTTTAACGTCTTGGAGTTTTGCCCACGTTCCTGCTTTGTGATATTTATGTGGTGCTTGTGGGATTTGGAAGATTTGCTTACTCAGTACAAAGCAAGCTGGCATAGTACAAAGCCAGCTGACATGTGTGCATGGCAAGATGGTTATCTATCTAACTGCTGGTGGTACCCCCTCACAGGGCGTGTCATCGCGTGCCTGCTACGGCCGAAAGTGGGTACTATGAGGTTCTTAATTGGCGGCGATAAATATCTACACCTGCATGCAGGTGCGAACCGAGTTCCGCAAGATCCTGATGTTCATGGGTTTCGAGGAGATGCCGACCAACCGCTGGGTGGAGAGCAGCTTCTGGAACTTCGATAGCCTCTTCCAGCCCCAGGTAAGCGCGAGCAGCAGTCCGACGTGCTGGGGATTTGTGACAGCAGAGCCAACAAGAGGTCTGCCCGCCGCGGGGCGGGTGTAAACCTAGCCTCTCGCTCATGGTTGATGCTCAGTTTCTCACCAAATTGACTCTGTATGTTTCTGTATCGTTGTCCTCCTAGCACACCTCCCGAGAGAGCCAGCCCTCTCTCCTTACGACGCTATTCCGTTTGATGGATCGCATCTCTCGTCCCGTCTTGGCCCGTTGTTTCTCTCATCCTTGCTTATTTGATGCTGTGGCGTTGATCTGCGGTCTATTTCAGTCCCACCCTGCACGGGACGCCCACGACACGTTCTTCATCAAGGACCCGGCCTCAGCGCTGGTAAGCCCACAAAACCCCATCCGATATCACGTGCGGTATGCATAACGGGTAGCATCGTCAAGCTAGACATCACGACGGCGGTGGATGTGCTCGTGCTTCCATCTTGACCCGTGTTTTTTCCTCCGGTATCTATCGAGTGATGGGAATAGACATCAATCGAAGCTTTCTTTCCTTCGAGCCGTGTAAACGTGCAAACCACTGGAGCAGTGGCACAAGGTTTATGCCAGAGACTGTTGCTGCTGTTTTGTGTTCGTCGCGCTGCAAGATATCCGCGTCATCCGCGTCGACAGGTACGTTGGTTGTCAGAACTAAGGCATTCGGCGTCTTGCTGCTCGAGATGTGTATAACCCGCAGGATCGCTGAGTGAGTATCGAAAGGTTGATCGCAGCCCCACACTCGTGAAGGGAGCGAGCGGGAAAGCGGTGGTCAATGGTCTGACCGCTGAGGCATGCAAAACGTAGGAGTACCCCCCCCCATCCCCCCCCCTCCCCACGGCTCTCCTCACACGTGTTCGAACATCAAGTCGTTCCCCGAGAACTACCTGGAGGTGGTGAAGGACACGCATGAGACCGGGGGCAGCACCGGGTCGGTGGGCTACGGGTGCGAGTGGAAGCGAGAAGAAGCTTCAAAGAACCTTCTGCGCACGCACACCACGGCCGTCTCCAGCCAGGTGAGGAGGAGAACGTTCGGCAGCAAAAAATCGCGAAACGAAGCGAGAGCTTGTTATCGGCCACGTGGATGCGATGCGGGTCACAACGTTATGGTTTTGGCGTGTTGCACCACGAAAGCACACGACCCACCACCTCTCTCTCTCTCTCTCTCTCTCTCTCTCTCTCTCTCTCTCTCTCTCTCTCTCCTCCGTGTCTCCTTTTGCCCACGTCTTTCTTTCCGCCAGATGCTGCACCGTATCGCGAACCAGGAGGGCGGCTTCACTCCGAAGCGGTACTTCTCGATCGACAGGGTCTTCCGGAACGAGACCATGGACGCGACACATCTGTGCGAGTTCCACCAGGTGGAGGGCATGATCGCCGACCGCAACCTCTGCCTCGGAGACCTCATCGGCGTCATCAAGACCTTCTTCCACAAGATCGGCATCACACAGGTACGACAATCGCTGGGCTTGATTTTTTGGGGGGGGGAGCTTGCAAAACAGGCGTTGCTGCGCGCACTCCTCTCTGACCGGTTTGCACGGAGGTCGGTCGCGGGGTGGCGGGGGGTTTGCAGCGGTTTTGTCGCTGCTGCTGTCGCACGCGTGTTTGCTTGTACAGAAAGCCGGGCGGAAATGTTAATGTTCACGCGTTATTGTTTGTCAGATACACAAAACCCCGGATCTATGAGGTGCATACTATGGCAGTGTGGCGCGTGACTTGTTGTTGCAGCTGTTGCTTGACCCAAAACATGGCAGTGGCGCCAACGGACGAAGACTCCAGGCACGCAATTACGTACGCAGCGCTCTCTACTTGTGTGATAACGGCTGGGGATGCACCGTGCGTTCGCTTTCCCTCAAGGGCAGACACAGCATCAGCACTGCTGCAGCACCTAGGAGTTAAGAAATCGAGCCTCCTAAATATCAAAATTTAGGACCCTGAGCACCATTTGTAAGCTCGGTTTAGAGCCCCTACACTAAAAACCTATATAGCGACGATTCGTATTATGACCCTACAGTAGGAACTAAGAACCCCAGCCTCGGCCGAAACTATGTAGAGGTTATTTGGTGCGAGCGCGTTATGTAGTCCCTGCGTTGTCTTCTGCGAGGGACACGACCCGCTCACCCGCCCGCCCCCCGACCCTAGTCTCGCCGCTTGGCGGCCTTGTTCCAAACCCCAACCCCCCCGTGCGCGCCCGCCCGCCACGCTCAGATCCGTTTCAAGCCCGCGTACAATCCGTACACGGAGCCGTCGATGGAAATCTTCGGGTATCACCCGGACCTCAAGAAGTGGACGGAGATCGGCAACAGTGGCATGTTCCGCCCGGAGATGCTCCTTCCCATGGGCCTTCCCAAGGTACCTTTTTTTTTTTTTTGCTGGTGTTGGATGGTGCTGCTGTTTCTTACCATTATGCATATGCCGTGAGCGAGGGCGTGTACTTTGTGCGGTGGGCGGCATGTTTGGAAGGGTCGCCTGGGGCTGCTGTTGCCTGTTGTGTATGCTGCTGCGGTTGTCTTTTTGGTGTCGTCGCCTTCTTCCATTCATATCCTTTCGAAACACAAGTCTTGCCTTTGTCGTACATTCTCGCGTAAGTGTGCCCAACTGCTGTGAGGGCATGCGTCATGCATACGTTTGTGTCGCGCGAACCGAGTCGCGGTTCTGTTGCTGTGCATACCCCACCCTCCTGTGTCTATGTTGTCAACCCCCCCCCCCCCGGCCACCTCTCCCGCGTGCCCCCGTGTCCAGGATGTGCGAGTGATCGCCTGGGGTCTGAGCCTGGAGCGGCCGACGATGATCAAGTATGGCATCACCAACATCCGAGAGCTGTTCGGGCACAAAGCAGACCTCAACCGCACCAAGACCGCGCCCGTGTGCCGTTTCGACTGAGCATGACCGTTTCACGGCTTGAAAGGACGTTTTTGGTGCATTCCGAAAGAGGTCGAGGGTGTACTTGGTTGGGTGGAACGGACCTCTGTGCATGTCAAGAGCTGTCCCGCGTGTTGTACGTGGGAGAGTCAGGGTCGAGCGGCCTTCCAGGGTCACGCGGTACACACGACCCGCTGTAAAACTCAACCGTGGCGCGTGCCGTTCGGGCGCCATATCGCGGTTTAATCTTGGTGGCGAATGCTCGCTTACAGCGTTGTGGCCCTCAGTTTCAGCGTTGTAGCCCTCAGTTTCTGAACGAACGCCGATCTCAGCGGTGGGAGGCGGTATGTACGGACGGTGTTGGGTCTCGCTCTCTCCCTTGCGTCCGAGCGTTGCACCCGCTCGAGGCAGCTTTGGCCGTGCACGTCAAGAAGAAATGGACGGGGAGCCCGGCGGCTAGAGTTGAGCGTAGCAGACAGGTTCGCCGGAGAAGTAAGGGACACTTACCGGTTAGTTGGAAATTCAAGCACACGCTGGAGAGAGGAGAGTCGAGTGCCCCTAGGGCGTGTTGTTTGTTCATGTTAGCGTGTCTCCGAATTTTTACAACGTACGCCAAGTTTTGGGGGTAAGACCGATGTTCTAAATACGAGGACAGAAGTCCAAAGTTCGAACGTATCCATAGCTGTCGGCCGGCCGGCGCCACTGAGCTTTAAGTAATCGGAAACCCCCGGCCGACAACAAGTCCGCTCCACGGTGATTTCACTGATGCTTCACTATGTAAGAGCACGTCCGACCTGCAAACCGGGTTGGACGCATGGCTGCATAGGGAGTCCTTCGCCGTTGTTCACGATGACAAAACAAAGGCTCGAAGCGGCGAAAACGCCCCCGATTTTGGCAGAATATGCACCTCACGATGATTACCGAACGATCCAGTTCACGTGTCTCCGTGGGAAAAGAACGCCGACCTCTCTCATCTCCGCCCGTTCATTTCTTTCTTGCAGTCACTGTGCTTCACATGAGCCGAAAACTAGAATTAGTAGACACAGAGCAAGCAGCTGAACGCACTCATGCGCACACTCCCTCACAACTTTGCATCTCCTCGTTGTGACGTCTTTTAGAAAGCGGCAGGCAATGCAGGGATGGCTCCGTGTGGCCCGTGCTGCACTCTTAGGGTTATCTTCTTAAATACACCAAGATTGTGCCTGACGCTCCTTGGACGTACGTCAAAGCACTCCTTCTATCGGCACCGACACCTCCAGGCGAAAAGCTACCCACCTTCCTTGTGGCCCACACACATTCTACACATTCTACACCAGCAGCAGCGCAGAAAGCGCCACACCCCGGCCTGCTCGACCTTCGCATTTATTTGCCGTTGGCTTGTGTGAAATCCGCCTCTTCCTCTATAATAGAGGGTGTCACCGAAAAAACTATCCATACTGCTACCGTAGAGCTGTTCACAAGCATGCCCATACCGTCGCAGATGCAAACGAGCCACTTTAAGTTTTACCGCCACACTGCCTGCCCACACCACAGAACGACCGCCCCCCCATCCGCCGCGAGACTTGTTGCCGGCCGGGGGGCTGGGGTCTACACACTTACCAGGCCAGCACAGCGGAAACACTCAGAGCCCGCGCTCTCCATGACTTTCAATGCTGGCGGCCACAAAAATGAAAACAAAAAATAGCTCAAGAACGTCATGGCCTCATTTCATGGCCTCTCCTCTCCTTTTCATTCTATATGTGTACTATACATGGGTACTGCCCCTTTTCTCCCCGACGCCTGGTTGATAAATTCTTCAAAATTATCACCCCTACAAACATTCTAGGATATCTGAGCAAGTGGAATAATTCGTCCCATTCCACCCGGAATGTCACCACCACGCACAAGAACCCTCGTGTAGGGCACCCATCCCCAAGATACTCTCGCGCCCGGAACAAGCTACCATCCTGTCTCAGTAAGCCTCAACAAAATGACAGCAGTTTCAACCAACAGGCACACACGCCGCCGCGTTTGTGTGCGCTCCCTTCTATCCACACTCCCCTCGCAAAATATCAACAGCCTTTTTTTCCGACCTTCCTCAACCGCGGCACAATCAAACGCCGGGCATCGCATCATCGAGCCCGTCGGAGCACCGGCCGGTTTTTCCGACCCGCCTGGTGTATACACAAAAAACGCGACAACAAAAACGCCTCTCCATCAACCGAACTCCCTCGCCAACACACCGCCCCGTCGTCCAACTCTTCCCCGCCTCCCGACGACGCTAGCGGCGCCGCCGACGCCTCCGGAGACGCGGCCTCGCGCCGCCGCCGTAAGCTGCTGCCTGGCGTACCTGCCTGGTCTACGGCGCAGCTTGTTGAGCGCGCGCGTCTCCACCATCCTGACCCTGTGCTTGGTGGACCCGGCCCTCGCGGCGACCTCGCCCCAGGTGGTCGGCGAGGCTCCGCCGAGCCCGTACCTCAGCTTCACCACCAGACGCTCGTCCTCGCTCAGCACGCTCAGCAGCTTGTCCAGCTTGCTCTCGAACAGACCGACCTCCGCCCTCTGCTCCGGGTTGACCATCGAGCACGCCACCCTCTCGTGCCGGTACCCGGCGCCCGGCGCGGCCTTCCCTCCCCCCGCCTTGGCCGCTCCCCCACCCCCACCCCCGCCGCTGCCGCCGCCGCCCCCTCCCTTGCCCCCGCCGCCTGAGAGGCCTATCCTGTCGCGGACGATACGGGCGGACGGCGGCGGCGCGTCGTCCAGGGAGAAGGCGTCCGGGCAGTTCATCAAGCGCGTCACCCGCTCCACGTCCACCCGCATGCGCTCCGCGATCTCGTCGTACGTCGGCCGTCGCCCCAGCTCCTTCAGCAGCGCCGCCTCCGTCATCGACGCCGTTCGTCGGAAGTTGTGGACTGGGATTCGTGGTATTGGTGCGTGTGTGATTTTTTCGTCATGTCCGCACGGCCGCCATGGTTGATTCATGAGCAGCAAGCATCGAAGAACAAGACGGGAGGGAGTGGGGGACGGAAAAATGAAGGGGAGGGGGGGGGGCGTGTCAGGGGGGTCAGGGCGAACGAGGCTGGGAGGTGTGCGGGAGCATGACTCAACATGCACGGACAGTTTTTTTTCCACCACTATCAAGAATTCGTCGACGGTGATTTCGAACATCCATGGGCTTGACATTGTTCACGTAGTTGACTGGCTCTCCCAAGCCTCTGTGGCATTCATTTAGATAGCGATCAGTATCTTCGCTTCCAACGGCCTCACAGGGGGTGACTGGGCCATCCGTGACAAAAGGCGCTAACGTAAAGGTTCTAAAGGCAGCGAGTTCTCACTTAAGGACTTGCCGCAACACCTCTCTATCCCTCTTCGACACATCCCGCCCAACCCGCTTCAAGGCGTGTCTCGCACCAGCTACAGCAGGAACAGCGGGCGAATCCTCCGAACGGCAGCCGAGATACGAAGAAACGTAATCTCCTTCCCCCCCCCCCCCCGCGTGGGAATCCAAAAAAAAGCTCACCAAAAGTGAGAAAAAGAAAACAATGTTACCACACCTACCCCGCGTGCGTTTGCGACAGCAGTACCGTGTACAAAAAAAAACTCTCGCACGGATAGATTCATAGTATTTCTGTGGTTCTACGCATGCTTCGAAGCATTTACTAAAAAACTCGCGAAACCTCCCTCTTCCTTAACCTTCCCGACGACCCACCCCGCGTCCCTCTCACCGTACTGAGGGAGCCGTATGATCCGCGCCTGCTGGGTCACGCACCGCGTCACCCGGTCCCTCACCCACCACCCCGCGTACGTCGAGAACCGGTACCCCAGGCGCGGATCGAACGTCTCGGCCGCCCTGAGGACCGCCAGGCTCCCCTCCTGGATGACGTCGCTGGTGATGGTCCCTCTGGCCATGGTGGCCGGGTGGTGCCGTCGCGCCATCACCACGATCAGCCCCACGTTCGCCCCCACGATTCGCTCCTGCGCCAAGTTCGTTCGTTCATCGGTTTGGGTTTTGTTGTGTGGTACGCAGAAGATATGGCAGTTGTCGGCGGGCTGCTGCTCGGAGAAATAGTCCCGAAATTGAAACCGCTGTTGAGCGTTTCTATCGTCTTGTGTTGTCTGTTTTCGCTCTTGGAAAGACACGCGCGGCCACCCCCCCTCGTACATGGACGCAAAACGTGTTCATGTACAGCAGTCAAGCGTACTCCGTTTACACTCTTCAACAAGTACGTGGGGAGTAGAGGCGGGATTCGGATGCTTGGTCTCCCTCCTCCTTCTACTGTCTACACTCCTGACAGCGGTCTCTTGCTGGCCCTCTGCTATCTCTACTCTTTCGTTCGGAGCTACTAATAGCTGGTGAGATCGTTATCAGGGCGGCCCTTCACCAAGAACGTTCCGTTTGCTGGGTTGATCAAAACTGGCTAGAGGAACTGGTGGTCCCAGGCCTTCTACATGTGCAAACCCTTTCAACCATAAAAATCAAAAACATGTTTCTTGATACTCAAAAGGCGGGCGGGCGATGCAAGAGCTGCCACCTGAACTTGTATACCCCAACATTTCGCGCTAGTTCTGCAAGTGTTGAGGGACGACTGCAAATGCCAACCAGGGGTCGTTAACAAGTCCATCCAACTCACCACACAACCACATCAAACCGGCTTGGCCTCAAGCTCGGGGTACCGATGCATCGAAAAACGTACATTGTACTTGTACACAACCACGGGAAAAAAAATCCTTACACCTTCAAACCCCTACAAAAACCGCTCAATAAATAACCTCGCCGCGGCTACAGCAGTACATACACACCTGAGCTCGTGCCGAAGCCACCATCTGGTGGGCAAGCTCCTCCGTGGAGATGTTAAGGCTCGCCGCCCACTCCTCGCGGGTGGGCTCCCGCCCCCCCAGCTCCGCCTCCAGCTGCTCGCGGGTCTTGAGGTACCGGGCGAGGATCTTAACCTCTTCCACGAGCAGGATCTCTTCCGCAATCGTCATCCGACCCGCCGTGTCCCGCGACCTGTGTTAAATCAAGATGATGATAACGGAACACGTTCAGGCGAATCGCGGCAACACACCAGGAGGAGCTACTGCTGTTCGAAAAACATCAAACAAACTGCGCTTGGGTGTCATGATGGCACGTTCAGGCAATCTGGCAAAAACCGCGGCATCACACACGGAGGACGGCCGTGAGCAACTGATCGAAAACAACCAACTTGATACAAACAGCAGTATTCCGGCGCTTTTAAGGGCGGGGCAATAGCGCACTATTTAGCGGCGTGTATCCGGATACAATCTATGGCAGATTTTGGGCAGCCCCCGCAACACCCAAAGAGATGGCCGTGAGCAACTGATCGAAAGCAACAAATTAAATACTTCATAAACATGCTCAGCGCTTCGCAGGGCGGGGCAATACGCACTGTGTACTGTAAATAGCGGTGTATCTCGCTACAGTCTAAACTGGTACCACATAGTAATACTACAGCAGTAGGATGCATTTCGGCAAACAAACGACAACGGTGCATCGACATGGGCCTGCGGAAAAACACGGGAAAAAAAGAGCAACCAGCCCGGCCTTGAACTCGGGGGGGGTCAACCGTTGTGCATGCCGTCCCAACGCGTCAAACGCTGTGCGTTTCGTCCCTACGCCTACTCCATACTGCTAGCATTGCACCATGTAGAGCGCAAGTACATGGTCATCACACGGAAGACCAAGAAAAACAGGCAATGGGAGGGTTTCAACACAGCCAGGAATAGCGGTCTTCTCCTGTGACTAAGGCTTCTTGATTGGTGGGAGACGACGCCGCATTGCCTACGATGACACATGGCTACGCGCTATGTACGCGTGTGCTGGCGGCGGGACCTTGAACCTCGTATCATGAAGAATCGTTCCGGCGGCACGAAAACGCATTACAAGCGCTACGAAATATACAAACATACCCCCTTGATACTGCTGTTGTAGTCTACCCCCTTCCGGAGACTACAGCAGTCTAGCAAGTCCAAAATGCAAGCAGGAAACTGTGCATAGAGAAAGGTCCAGTGCGAGCGTCGACAATGGTAGTAGATGCCAACCAACCGGCGTGGGCGCCAAGAGCACCACTGCTGTCATCCAACGAAGGGCTACACTTGGTTCTGTGAAAAAATGCTATAATACCCGCCGTCTACCGCTCTCTAACGCACTTACAACCTAGTAGCTGCAACCTAGAGTAAATTATTTGGTGTCGGGATAAAATTATCCTCCCCCACACACCACCGTATCAATCGGTGCAGGGGGCTGGACCGTCATCACGACACCATCGCTCTGTGTCACATCTCACCCGTACGCGGCGAACGACGTGATGCTGTTGAGCCCCCTCGTCACGGCTCGCACCTCCTGGTTGCTCGCCTTCCTTACCCTGGCCGACGCCCCCAACACAGCCGGCCCCGCGGCCCCGCCAACCCCAACCACCACCTCGCTAGGAGCAGCAGTTCCTACGGCACCAAGCCGAGAAGAGCAACCCCTATGCCGCCTGCCGCGAGGCAGCCGATCATGCCCAGGACACGCGCCGCGTAACGCGTTTCCCGCTACAGAACGAGCGCACCAAGCGTCGCTCGTTGGTCTAGACTGAGGGTTGCGAGCCGGAGTAGCCGTCTCGGCTTCTACTTCAAGAAGAAGGAGGCGCTCCGACGCGCTGCGGCTGCGAGGCGGGTGTCCGGCGCCGGAGGGAAGGGTGAAGGCGTCCGTGGCGATGTGCAGCCCGCTTCGAACGATCGCCGCCACTGCGATTGGGTGGGAGGGTTTGCCGCAGGAATGCATGAGGCGGCGAAATTGATTAGCATCATGAGCTCGACACAACCTGGTCTGGTTGATTTGAGATCGTGTTCAAAAACACGGTTTTACTTGTTCTGAGAGAGGAACTGAGATTGGCCTAGAAGCTGTCAGAAGACGCGGTGCGTGATGTTTGGTCTTGTTTGGTACCGCACCATCGCTGGCTCGGACCTCGGGCACACCCGTTGGTCCACACGCCCTGACTCAGGTGGTAGGGGCAGCGTTTAGAGAAAAGCAACGTCGAATTACCCAGCCCGAACCCAACGCTTTCCGGCATGAACACACACCCCATCACCCGACCCTTTCCGCGCAGAAAGCTTGAGGCACAAGACAGACAAATCACATCATCATTTCGCCCCATCTATGAGGCCTCATCCCTCGCGTACCTGACAGTAGAAACCGGGCGCTACCGGAGCACCACGACCGCGGTCTCGGGCGGAGTCGAGACCGCGAGGACATGTGTGCGTCGTGCGGAACAGGAAGATATGGTCCAAGATAAGATGTACTCTGCTGCTCTGCTGGTGCGAGAGGCACCCCGGGTGGGTAAATTAGCAGTCAAATATCAGGGTATGTTTGTGATGTCCCTCGGAATGATTTTGACCAATCAGCGTTGCTTGATATATCCCCTCGACCAATCAGCGTTGTGCCGATTCACGAGATCTTTCCTCGTCAGCCGGTTCTCGGAGATCTTGTAGATCGCTGCCGGTCAGCGCAGACACGCTACACACAGCAGCTTCACCGCTGTTTGCTCGAGCGGTGCGACGGGTACCTCCTCTAGCAACACTCCGCCGTGTCGTAAGCATCCAAGGGTGTGACGTGCTGGTAAATTTCATTGCTACAAAGTGTGGTATCGGCCGTCTGGGCAGTCAGCAAGCAGCAGTCCTGTTGTAGTCTACACCGCGGTATCATACACACGACACCTGCAATCTACGGTACATGTCTGTCGTCTGGCCGGAAGGCCAACGGGACGACACTGGCCGCTAGATATACTACTCCATCTTTATTACCCAGCGCAAAAGTCCCTACAAGTAGCATGGCCGTGTTTTCGTCCCCCATCTTTTTTGGGGGCCATTCAAGTCTACATGTACACAAGGCCCGGTACTAATGAGTTACCCTGAGATCCCACCAAGACGTTTCCTTCCAGAGATCAAGAACTGCTGTGGTATAGTCTAGTTTATTCAGCTGAGGTCAAAAACTTGTCGCCACCGACCGATGTGAAGGGTGTACAGGGTACCGATTATGATGATGCTGTCACAGTCAATCCGTATCATTACACATTGACACATACATCCAGACATATTATTACGTTTCTTTTCTCCTGTCTTGCCCAAGGATATTTGTAACGGAAGGAGAGGCTACGGTTTGGGGTGGATCACGGGACTATTAATAGTTGAGGTGTAGCAACGGCGGTCTCAGGACATCCCTCCAGTACCCTGAATTGGCCAAAAAGGGCAACTCAAAGGAGGAAAACAATAAAATCCGCATGCATGCATGATGAATCCTCACACCTCTTCGACAGCAGCCTCTAGATCGGTACCGAGCTCGGTGGACGCGCTTGAATGATGGCGGTAGTGTGAGCCTTGAAGGTGGCTTGTAGAGTGTGGAGCAGGCCTCCGGTCGTTGACACGGTTTGGTTCTTGCCTAGCACTGGAACGCCCAACAAAGGAGTCAAACAAAAAGAGTGGGCTCGTGTGGTGGCACGAACTCAAGACTAGGGGCCCTGCAAATGTACAGAACTCTCAACCACCCTATGGGAACAACGTTAACTTCCCAAAAGATGCAACTCCATGTAGCCGCAACTATTTAGTCCGTAACATAGTTTCCTCTTGTTGCTTCATCATGTCACTATCTCCTCCAGCATAATCTAAAAACTACGCTACAGATCTAGACCAGTGACCGCCATGAACAAGCTGCACCCACCTCCCGTGTACTGCAGAAAAAGATGTATCACCTTTCGGCAATGCCACCCAACATTTCCGCCTAATTATATGATGAGTGCTGTGCAAAAGACAGTTGGCTCGCTTTTCCCCCTGCTGTACTCTCATTTACGTGTACGTACATAGTGTTTTTGTCATTCACGCTTTGCTACTTTTCGCGTTTGCTTCGCCCGTCGCTTTTGATATAGTATAAGTTGATATAGTATAAGTGCTGCGATCTGTTTGAACTGGTCCGTCTTCTGGAATTTGCCGTAGAGACACTCTTTGAGCACCGCCCCGACTTCTTTTGCGGCGCCATCCAGAATACAAGCTGCAACGTCCTAAAATAGTTAATCCAGACACAGTGTGCCCGACGGCGGGTAGGGGGGAGAAGAGGGTTTAACCCGTGCAGCCCGGAAGCAGTCAATGACAGCTACGTGACAGCATTCGACGAAACGGAGAGCGTAAGTTGATCATGATAGGGAAATCAATAATCGAGCACAGACAGCGAGCAGCTCTTTTTGCTCGATTGTGAGCTCCTCAACGGATAACCCTTAGCGTGCGGCAGGTCGACCACCAAGTGGATTTCCCCCCGAGGGCATCCGGGTACGCACCCGAGGAAGTTGTTTCAAGGCCTCCATGTTGATCCTTTGCGCAATACAGGACTTGGTGTCGCTATCGATGTTGACCTCAAAGGGAGAATCGTCCTTGATGTAGTTGTCAAAAATGTCCATGATAAGCGCGAAGTTCGAGTCCTCAGTGGCGGTCGATGCGCGGACAGAGGTTTTGAATGCCCAAGCCGCTTCCAAGAACAGGATTGTCTGCATGGTCACGACGAAAGGTCATCGAAACGAAGGCGGGAGATGGAGGGTGGGTGGATGTGTGGATGTGTGGAGGGGGGGCATTGGCACAGCAAGCGTAAGTATGGCGGAGAAACGACCGATGGTCGAGTAACACGGCTCTCCTCTTCTTGTCGCATGACAATCAACGACAACGCCCCCCTCTCACTCCATCCCCCTCTCTAACTCCTCCCACTCCTCCCCCCATCCCTCCCGCTCTCTGACGGTCGATCGCTAGCACATTGCTGAGTTTTCGTGTACATCTATCCGAGATAGGTACACGTCTCGAGGGGAGATTTGCTTTTCGTAGTGCATCTATGTAACTATTCGCAAGCCTAACTTCGTGCCTCAAGCCTGGCTTACATGTCGTGCAGAGTGCCTCGCGAGCATACTTCTCAAAGAGGAGAACGACGGAATGTTGGTTCTCTCTCATTCCGGTTGGTGCATGTGGTTGCGATCACCCGTTGCATTTTGCGAAGAGTTCCTGCACATCGCCTACCGTACGCAGCTGGCAAATACTCATGTGTGTACCTGTTTCAAGGCAGCTCTGATTGACTCTCACCTCGCTACAGAGCGCCCTAAAACAGAGTTCTTCGAACGCGTGCAGGAGTCGGGGGGGGACAAGAATCTGCTCCAACGTCTCGGTAGACTTATCGCTGGTTTCGATGGAACCTGGCAGATGCGAGACGTTGTTCTCGGTGGTACCGACCGCCACGGCGCTGTTGCCCCTCCTCAGCGATGGCACGAACGGGAAGAGAATGGCCACTATGCTCCCGTTTCGGGGGGCAGCCGCCGAGTACCTTCCCAGTGTTTTATTTCGCAGGCTGGATGTTTCTGTTGCGTCAGGGGGTCATGACGTGTAGTCGCACAGGAAGCGTGGGGCAAGAGAGCAGCTGCTTGTGCTGAATGTAGTTTGTGGGAAGTGTTCTGTTGTGGGTACTTCGAGCTTCGTGTGTGCGCCCACTCTTGCACGTACCCCTTGTGCTACTTGCTGCACTCGCCGTGTTCCAAACTGGCATGCCGTGATACTAGTAACTGCCCCATGTGCAAGACGTATTGGTCTGCGAATATGTGGCTGGAGCGATGATCGTACCCAACCAACAGGGTAAACGGTCTACATAGGAGTGGCCGAGGACCCCCTCACACTCGGCAGCTTCCTGGTACGCCGAAAATGGGTGACTCGTGTTGTCATTAGTAGAAAGACGTCGAACGGGAGCTGCGTGCTTTAGCACCCACGCTACGTGTCTTTGTCATGATGTCCCTGGGAAACTGGGCAACCACCAAAACATCCGTCGTGTCGTAATTGCTAGGAGCATGTAAATGGTACCAAAATAAAGTCGTGCAACAGAGGTGACTGGCACATGACGACCGGTATTCACTCACGTTATGCACACGACGACATGGTGTCTGACCGTGTAGAACAGAATCAAGTACAGGTCCAGAGACCCGGTCGGGATGGATGCCAAAAACGCCAGCATCACTGTTTTTTCCGTGAAAGCACGGCGGGGGCGCAAAGGAAACACGGTGTTGCGTTTAGTCGTCAAAGAAGCTCCAGAAGGACCACGGGTGAAGTGCCGCGGGTCTACGTACGAGGTAACGCCTGGTTGATGTACGCAACGTCTGTTCGTACACCACAAATTCAGCGGAGACAGCCAAGGCGGGCGGGTGTGAAAGTATGCCTCCTTCATAGAAGATCATGGACGGCGAGAAACCTCATCCAATACCCCGGTTGTTGATACTATGCATATTTCATCTGGAACATATACAACGGTGAAGGGTCGACCCGCTCAATATTTGGGTAACGGCCCGGCAAGGACGCATCTGCACACTCATCGTCTACACCGGGTCGTGTGCCTCCCCTTCTCCCCCCCGAACCCAAATCTCGATGAACAACGGCAGTATATGTAAGCGGAGTGTGGAGGGCAGGTGCAGAGGTGCAACCATTGGTGTCCACACAACAGGAAGTTTGACACGACTACGTATGCGATCGGAGCGGAGTATCTTGCCGGTCGTTGAATAGCAAGAAACTCTGCTATAGAAACGACTCTTCCAAAGCCACCTGTGGGGATGGGGAGTGGGGGGTCTTCGGATTACCCTACCCTCTCTGGTCAGTGTCATTCCCTCTCTCCCCCTCTCTTCCGAGATGTTCTCCTTGCAAAATCTCAAGCAAGGAAACTGCTAGGCTCAGGAAGGGCAGGAAAAGATTGCCGCGGCATGGATCTCCATCTATCGAGAGAAGCCTGTGCCCTTAGGAAAATACAAACATTTACCGAGAAGAAGACGACCCAATCGTATGGATGTGATGGGTTCTTCTTGAATTTTGACGTCATCGACGCCAAAGTGATACAATAAAATGGAAAGTTAGGGAACCACTACCGCACAGTGCCAATAGGTCTGAACAGCAGTTTGTCCAACTGTATCTATCTTCAGGCGATAACTTGTGGATGAAGGCGAATTAGGCGGAATTTCGACGATGCTTGTTATCCCCACAACTAGCCTGGCAATTTTTTTCGCTCAAGCATTGAACGACCAACTCTAACTTCAAGTATTTCGGAGTTCAAGACTGGAAGAACTATGAGTTTTGGACAAGTTTTGGACAACAAGTTTTGGAGGTCGTCCAGAACTCTACAGTAGGTTGCATAAGATATCGCACCCCCTGGACCGATTTTCGAAGCTCGATTTCTCGACAGGAAAAGCAATGATGGTGCCGAAAATGGTGGCGGTGGGAACCGTCTTGTCGAGAGCTTCCCGAAAACATACCCTTTGATTTCGGCATGCTCTTCGTCGTGGAGTAATCGAGCTTTGAAAATCGATCAAGGGTGTGTGATATCTTTTGCAACCTACGGTATGTTGAAATCGTACGGCTGAAATCAAAATCAAACAAGATTCCCTGCAGGTACAACCGCGAACACACTCCGTTTGGACTGTGGTCGATACACTTGGAACGCGCGCACAGGCTTGGGTCAGACACTCATGGGGAAATGCTTGGCTCTGCGAAGACACTGGACGCGACAGACGAGCACTAATAGGAGACCATCAACAAAGAGAATCTTGAAAAGCTCTTGGCCAGTCACGGGCAACAAACTGGCCACATGTGATTATTTGACTCCAAAGCTCAAGGGAAACTCATGAACACCCACTTTACGAACTTTGTTGAACGTCTCTAGGCCCATCCCGACATTATAATTCCGGTGGGCATATCCACCGACTTTTCACGACCGCTATTCAACTACTCACTTTAGTCCATCGTAAGACCCTCGCGGAAAAAACAGGAAGATCTCTCTTCAAGAGAATAATATCATTATACATTCATGGGGGGGGGGGCGAACAAGGTCGAAAGAGAACAACAACAAACACCAACGCAGTTCGGTATCATAAAAAAATAAATAAAACCTCCTAGTTGAGACTCTCATGATAATTCCATGCGGGGAACAGGGAGTAGAAGCATAGAATAAGAAATCAATCATTCATCTCGTGAGATTCAGAAACTCGGGAAAACTCTCACAAGAATCTTATGAGGCATTCATGACACGCTCACGAAATTTGACTTCGCTGTTGTTGGGGCCGTTCAATCTGCGGTTTGTTCCTTGCGGTCAACCGCTGATGCTGAGACAGACGAATTTCACAGTACATTGTCTTGAAATTTGTTGTCACACTTCAAGGGGTCCGCTCAGGTCTATACACCTTTGCTTGTGTTCGGGAAACACACTGTAGCAACCACGTTCAACTCGGATGTCTGTCATTAACGTTCACTGCGTTTCCATAGCTCTCGGGTATGACATCACCCGGCGCTTTCAAGGCCGACTTGGCCGTGATCTGTTTGAACTGGTCCGTCTCCCGGAACCTGTCGAATAGCTTGTCTTTGAGCATCATCCCGACTTCTTTAGCAGCGCCATCCAGACTAGCAGCTACAACGTCCTGAAAGAGTTGATCCAAAAGCAATGCCCAGCGGAAGGGTGGGGGGGATGAACAGGGTTAGATCCGTGCAGCCCGACATCTCGATGCGAAACAGTCAACGGCAACGACGCGAAATCATGCGAAGAGACAGAGACTGCAAATAGATGAGAGCACCGATGATCGAGCAGAAGAGCCCGTTGTTTTCTCAACGGACAATGTCTAGCGTGCGAACAAAGGGTTTCCCACTGAGGTCGTCTTGTACGCACCAGAGGGAGCTGTTTGAAGGCCTCTTTGTTGGTTCTTTTCATTATGAACGACTTGGTCTTGCTATCGATGTTGATCTCAAAGGGAGATCCGTCCTTGATGTACTTGTCGAAAATGTCCATGAACAGGACGAAGTTAGTGTCCTCACTAGCGGTCGATGCGCGGACAGAGTCATTGAATGCCCAAGCCGCTTCCAAGAACAGGATCGACTGCATGCACAATGATATAGTATGGTCACAGCGAACGATCATCGTTTCGGGGGCGGGAGATGTAGGGTGGAGTGGAGGGGTGGAGTGGGGGGGCATTGGCACATCAAGCAACAGTAGGAGGGGGAGGGGCAGAGTAGCCACCCATTGTCGGGCAGAATGGCCCTCCCCTTCAACATGCATGACAAAAACATGCAATGCCCCCCTTTCACACCTCCCTCCTTACACCCCCTGACCCCTCCCTCCACCCCTCCCGCCCTCTGGTGGTTGAGGTTTCAACGCACTCTTTGCTGGGTTTGTGTCAACTCACGCAGTTAACATTTGTGAAAGGGCACCTCTCAAGGAGAGCATTGCCTTTGCAAACCCTTCCAACTTATCGCATGTCAAATTTCGTGCCTCAAGCCTGGCTTGCATCTCGTGCAGAGTGCCGTGCAAAGGTCGGTTTCAACGAGGAGAACGAGGGCATGCTGACTCTCTGTCATTCTGGCTGGTCTAGTGGCTTGGATCACCGGTTGGTTGCTTTGAGACAAAACGTGCAACAAAAATTGCCCACCAGATGCAACTGGCGTGTATGCATGTGTGCGCCTGTTTCGAGGTAGGTCTGACTGAACCTCACCTCGCCGCAGAGCGCCCTAAGACAGTACTCTTCGAACGCCTGCAGGAGCGGGGTGGAAAGCAGGATCTGTTGCAACGTCTCGTCCACCTTGACTGTGGTCTTGATCAAACGTTGCGGGATCGAGACGTGGTCTTCAGTCGTATCGACTGCCACGGTGCTCTCGCCCTTGGTCAACTTCGGTAGGAACGGGAAAAGAACTGCCACTATGCGCCTGCTTCGGGGGGCAGCCGAGTACCTTAGAATTTCTCTGGCAGGCTCGATGTTTCTGTTGGGGGGGCATGACGTGCACAGTAGGATAGGAAGCGTCGGGCAGAAAGCAGCTGTTTGCGGTGACCTAGCTTGTGGAGAATGCCCTTGTGGGTACTTCAGAGCTTGGGTGTGGGCCCACTGTTGCACAGAGCCCTGGGCTGCTTACTTGTACTCGCCGTGTTCCAAGCTGGCATGCCGTGATACTAGTAAATGTCGCAAGTACAGAGCACACGTGTGGTACTGGTCTACGATCATGTGGTGGAGCGATGATAATCATATCAAATCAACCGGGTAGGGGCCCAGGACCTCCTCGCATGTGGCAGCTTACAGCAGCCGGAAGTTACAAGAGATTCGTGCTGGTAGTACACACAATAACCCACGGGAAGACTTGAGCACGCTTCCAACAGCAGGACGTGTTGTTTACAGAAAAGGCATCCCGGGGCGATTCCCCCCATCATATGTTGGACACGAAGCGTGTCTTTTTCTGTATCTGGTCTGCAGATACGTCAAACATGTGTGACTCGTGTTGCCAACAGTGGAAAACATTCGAGGAAGTTAAGCGGGAACTGCGTTCTTTATAAGCACCCACGCTGTTTGCCTTTGTCATGATATTCCTGGGAAACTGGGCAACCCCCAAAACATGCCTTCGGTTTGGATTTGCTAGGAGCATGTGAATATTACCAATCTTCAGTCGTGAAACAGCAATGTTGACTGGTACATGACGACCGGTACGCACTCACGTTATCCACACGACAACATGGAATCTGACCGTGTAGAACAGGATCATGTACACGTCTAGAATCCCGGCCGGGATGAATCCCAGCATAGTTATCATCACTGCAGAGAACGGCGGGGGTGCAAAGAAAACACAGATTGGCTTACTCGACATTGAAGCTCCCAGGCACGGGCAAGGGCGACGTGAAGCTGGTCAACGTGTGTCGTGCGGCTTGGATTGCTTGTCCCACGTCTAATCGTGCACTACATAGTCAGCAGAGAGAGCCATGACAGGTGGTTAAGCAGATGTGGTGCTTGGCTTCGAGCATGTGCAACTTGGACCGGGTGGGGAAATCTCATCCAAATTGCGTATTTCTTTCTATTCCATGTGGAACAAGGGTGGACACATCTCGGCCCCCCCCTACTTAATAGGGCGGTTTCATTACTAGGGCACATCTAGGCACTCATCATCGACACCGGACCAACAACATGCCGTCCTCCCCGTTCCACTTCCCCGACGTGAATCAGCAGAAACCACAACTTCCGCCAGGGAACGACCTGGGCTGGTCATCCCCAAGAAGACATCTCTTGTTAGTCGGGCGGAAGAACAAGAGAATGCGAAGGCGTGCCCACGTGGCGGCAAGAGAGAGAGAGCGAAAGAGAGAGTCACACTCACCAACGTCGCTGGATGTGAATCAATTACGGGACACACCATAATTCGTCGAGAAGGAGATCAACAGATTGATAGGCCCGTCTTGAAGTTTGAAAATATGACGCCACAATGAGAAAACCATGTTAAACTGGGGGCTTAACAGTGTCTTAAGACCGGAGGAAGTACGACGACGACAGTCAAGAGTCTGCCGGCAACTATGGCGTAAACCCTATAGAACGCCAGAGAGTGTTGGTGGTGCCTCTGACACGCTCAGAAACAGAACTCCGTCTTGTAAGTTGAGAATACTTGGGGAAAAGAACCAAGCCCCCCCGTCCTAACGTCGACTCACACGGAAGCCGTAGTGAGGCACCGAGTACACGACCCGCAATCAACATGCCAATGGCGGCATTGGAACACACCCCTCCCTCCCGCCTCTCTCCTCGAGCGGAGAGAAGAAGACAATAAATAAACGACCGCTGGCCCCCGGGAGGGGCTCAGCCGGTTGGATCTTTAAAACAGTACCCTGCCTGCTACGCATCCCATCGACCGTTCAGCACTGAACCCCATATCCCTTAGGGAAATGTATTGGGAGACGGCCGACCTTTGCAAGATCCCACAGCGAGATCTACGCTGACCTGCATTCTCCTTTGTGAATGGCATACCGATCCTGCGACGATGAGACAACTGTAGGCATCACTGTGGCGGCCGTGAGTGCCTGCCGGCACAATACCGCCGCGACGCACTCAGCTTGATTGAGCACGGAAAATGCGCTTGGATTCGTGTACTGGGATGGGTCGGAAACCCTTGGGGCAAAATTGATTGTTTCAAGATTTCTGTGGACGCGGCAATCGAGCACTCACCGGTGGTGAGCAGCGCGCAAGCTCCGACTTTCCGTATCTCCAAGGACACCTCGAATATGTCGTTGGTCCGCCGCAGCTTACCGAAGAGCACGAGGGACGCACCCAGCGTGATCAGGGATTCGATCATTGCCACTATGACCATGAAGCTTCCGACCCTGTGAAGGGTTCATGATGTCATATATGATATGTTGTAGATTGAGAATACCGGACTGGGTCGTTGTCGATACGTACTTCTGTGTACGGCAGAGTGGATACATATTTTTCTGGGGAGGCTTCCACCGCGGTAAGGCGCTGCCTGAGCAATCAAGTAGAGCTCTCTATGTTGGTGTTCTGTTGTTTCTTGACTACCAAAGCGTAGTAAAAAGCGCAGTAACCAGGATGGGGAAAGGTTGAGCGAGCGCACCTCAAGATCAGCTTCCCCCCCCATCCTGGGAGAAGAGAGCGAAAACTAAACACACATGTAGCATGCGGTGTCCCGAGCAACGTTTTCGGCCTGACGTGCTTCTGTAGACACCAATTGAGTCTCAAAACCGGTCCATGCCAGCTTTGGCACGATTCACTGGATCCTCCAAAGTAGTGTTGAATATGTAGCAGTCGCGACGTGGAACGGAACCTCGATATCCTCAACCCGAAAACATTCAATATTCATCGAACACATTTCGTAGCCAATGGTATGCCAATCGTGAGCCCCGTCCCTACTTATCCACCCTGTCTGCGACGAAACTCCACAAAAAAGGGTACAATTACAAGGGAATCAAGGGAACACAGCCTACCACCTCGAAAAGAGTGTATCGAGTATGTGAACAAGGACATCGGAGCTTTGGCTCACTATCATACCAAGGGCAGGTAGTTTTCTCCGCTGGTATGTTGGCAGGGAGAGAAGATGGAGAGGGAGCAGGGCGATGCCACATGTGATCCGCTCGCTCATGGTGGCAGGTGGCGTATGGAAGATCGGCATTTGTATCCATCGGTGGTCTTCCGGGTGCCACGATTTCGGAACGGTTCTAAGGATGGGTATTGCTACACTATGAATAGATGCCCTTTGATCCCCGCCTCCGAGATAGGGGCTATCCACAACGAGGAACATGTTCGACGCTTGCAATACTCCACGCGGAGGCGTAGCTCATTTCAGATTTGAGGAGGCATTTGTTAGCCTGCATGGTTCCCATGTGTAGCATAGAGTTTACTTCAACGCGCCTAGCCGGGGTACATTTGCCACCTACGCGGAGTACATGGTCGCCTGAAATAGAATGACACCAGCGTGGGTGGGACGAACAGCATACACCAAAGCGGCTAGGTTTCGCACAATGACGAAATCGTGACGTCTAGGGCAGTCAGTTTCTCGACAACGGGGAAGCCACCGACGCCGAAAATGATGGCGCACGAACAGCCTGTGGCCGAGGTCTTTTGAGAAGATGAAGTGTTCAACGTCGCGGCACTCTTCCCGTACTCTGCGCAACAGTGCACTAGGGCAAGCGCAAAACATCGATGTTCATCATCGTACGAAGTCGTTCGAGGTCCTGAGCAGTCGGAGATATTCCCATCCTTCACCTTGCTAGTCCGACATGTTGTACAGCAATCCATGCGGCGACCTGGACAATTGCGTAGGCGGCCAGCAAGACCTTGACCGTGGCGGCTTCTCTCTTGAGGTATCTTCCCCAGCGCTGTCGACGAGAAGGGGTGTACATAATGAGAACTCGGAGGCCCCGTGCTATGTACGCCCCGACGAAGCAAAAGACCGTCAAGGGTATGTTGACCATCTGCAGAACCAACAGCGACCGGAGCCCAGGAAATAAGACCGTCCGCGACACCGCCCAGACTGCGACAAATTCACCGACAAGGCCTGATGTAGTCGCCAGGAGGGGAGACCTACGTTTCGATTGATTGCAGACCCAGAGGGTAGAATAAAGAGGGCCGGGAGAGACAGGAAGGGAGGAGAGGTTCCCGTTGTTGGAAATTTGATTATCTGCTGACTAGTCTAATGGTTTGATTTCGGCTTCTACATAGACCGTAACCACACCCCATGATGACGTGTTCGAGAAACGCAACAAACAGTTTCTGTCGTGGGGTTCACGCATGCTTTTTGAAAGCATTTTCTGTTATTGTCAACTGGGACTGACCTATTTCATTGGTCAAACCAGTTAGCGTTGTCGATCCCGGCAATAGCACTATTGTGCTTGCTTTTTAAGGCGCACCACGGCGCACCTCATGGTCTGTCCTGGTGCGCACCATGAATTATCATTGACAGCGGATAAAAAGGATAAAAACGAAAATCAAGAAAACTAAACAAACTCATGGGGCACCATGATGGACCGGGAGGTTCTAAACCTCATGATGCACCATGTGAAACCTGTGCATTGTTACGCGATCGCAGTGTCGAGCGAATTCGACCACTACATACTGCGTGGAGGTGAGCGGCTCCGTTTCAGTCTGTTCCTTCCTTCTGTAAGTCGCTCGCCATCGTTCACGCCCAGGCACCACTGAAACAGGAGGGGATGCATGTACTGCCTCTGTTGCTGCTAAACAACCAATCGAGTCCATGGGGCAGCATGGAGTAGCATGAGATTCTCATGGCACATCATGGTGAACGGATGCGCCATGGTGCATCATGACAATCACCTCAGACATCATGGTGCATCATGGTGCAACATGCGATACCTCATGACGTGGCCCAATCATGTCACACACCGATGGATGCAATCATGATACTCTGAACAGGCACACACACAAATATCCCTATGCATACCTGACGGCAAAGTAAAGATCCTTCCTCAGCATCCAGGTGGCGGTGATGTGACCGAGGCTAACGAGACCGTACGCTATTGTCAGGCACATGCACACAATGCGGAGCACCACGATGATGCCGGTGGAAACCATTTCCAACTCTGTGCGCCTTGATTATGCGTGTACCAAGATGTAGGTCCGTGCTTGCTCGAACCCGCGAGTCTTCTGTCGCTCTTGGAAGCAATGTGCTTATACGTAGACCGCACCAAGCGGGGGAGAAGTGGACCGCGTGTATGTCGAATACCGCCGTGACGAGACCTTGCCAGCTGCCAGCGCAGCACGTTACGGATCTCTCTTCATGAATGTGCACGTCCTAGCCGCACACACGCAATACATACCAATACGGTCAGATCTCGACACGGGCGTTAGGACCGAGCCCAACGTGCGAGCGGAGTACGTATGCATATGCACGGACAAAGGGATAGAGTTTGTTTTCGTCGGAAGATCGTATCGTACTATCGTATTCAGCGGAAAAACTGGTAACGCCCGAGGCATGCTGGTTCTTGGTTCTTGGTTCGGATTTAGTGGGTTCTCGGTTCTCGGTTCTCGGTTCTCGGGTTCTTGGGTGGGGCAGGGGCGAGGTGCCAGGTGCCAGGTGGCAAGGTCCCAGGTGGCCAGATAAGATCATGGTTGAGCGACCGGTGCTCGGGCGTCGCAGAGAGAGGTGGTTCTCACTCTCACGGTCTCACTGCATGTCTCATGTCTCATGTCTCATGTCTCATGTCTCATGTATGTCTCGTGGATACTGGATACAATATGTACATGCTCTCACAACGTGTCGCCCGTGTGCAACTCTGTCGAAGACAACATTCTTACAACGAAGTCCAGCCAAGGGGAGCAGCACATCGTTGGATGGTCGCGCGGTATGCAGAATATGGAATAAAACCCACTTTCGGGGTGATACTTCCATTGTTCTGTGGCTAAACATTGTCTCTGAATGTATACAAGTATGGTGGCGAGGATATAGGGGTGGACGAGGGAGAGCTATATCGCTGGACCCAGAGAGCTCAGCGGGAGCGACTCTGGAGAGCTGGCACTGCGATACCTCCTGTGCGGTATGCCTCGTGGTGTTCGGTAGATAGTCTAGTTGAGAACCCTCGACATATTACTACTGTATGTAACATAGATAGGTATAGTGGGAAGGTTGGTCCCCCGCCTCCCAACGGGGCAATCTCCCACACTACTGACAGTTTTGTTAAACCGCCCATGGGACACCCCATGGGTCACCCATGAGCCGCCCATGGGCACTTCATAGGCACTTCAAGGGCAGCTCATGGGCTGCCCGTGGGCTGCCCACCCATGCCCATGAGCGGCCCATGGGCGGCGCATGAAGTGCCCACCGCGGGCACTTCAACTTAGAGCGTCGCCACCGACATATCAACCTAGAACTGTGCCACCTTCACATCAACCTAGAACTTAGCCACAAGGGCCAACTTAGCACGTATCGTGTGGGCTTGGGGTTAGGGTTACGGCTAACGTTAGGGTTATAGCCCGTTCGAAAGCAGATTATCTATTGTTTAGGAGTACACTGGTTCGGTTGAAGGGCTCTCATTGGCCGCCCATGGGCTTCCCATGGGTTGCTCATGGGCCGCCCATGGGTTGCCCACGGGCTACCCATGGGCGTGCGTATGTGCAGCCCATATGGGCTGCCAATGGGTGACCCATGGACTGACTGCCCATGGGCCACCCATGGGTCACCCATGGGAGTCCCATGGGTCGTTTGGGAAAACTGTAGAAAGTGTGGGAGACCCCTTAGGGTTTGGACGGGGGGAGGAGCCAGAATGTGACAGATGGATGTGGGGACGAACAATTATTATAGGGTGTTGTGAGGTGGTTTAGTGTCAATCAGCCCCGCCGACAAACATATGTATGCGCCCGCAAATAATACAACAAATTATGTTTCCGTCCAAACGCGGCGGCATAATCTATCACGAAGCACGGTTCAGAGGTATCCCCCGGACCTCTCGTTGACAGACTTGTTCTGGCCTCGAGGCGGGAAATGATGTATCATGTAGCATATGTATATCGGACAGCGGGGCTTCAATTTCATGGCAAGTAGGCAACTAGACTTGAGCGCAAACATGTCGACATCGGAAGTAAACTAATCTACAATGGATTGATGTGTTCCGACGAGAAGTCAACAACGATTACGCTCGCGCGTACAAAAATAGTAACTGTCTAAAACGTACAGCAGTAGTAGTGGAGAGCATCGATATTTACCCATCATTCATCATATAGATGGTCAAAATATTGTCAAACAGCCGACTATGAACATATATGCGCGCTCAAAAAACCCGAACAAATAATGTAACCGCCGACACACGGCTGAAAAAGCAGCCTCCGCGGGGCAGGTAACAGGTGTGCCCCGCCCCGACCCTGTCAGTGCAGGCTAATCCCGGCCTCGCAGTGGATAATCCCGTTGTAGATTGGATTTGATGGCAGGTAGGCAACTATACGCACGCGCAAATTGATCGAGATCGGAATTATTGTACAGTGGATGCATGGATGGATGGATGTGTTCCGACGAGGAAAAGAGAGAGTCATAGAGCTATCAATCATCAATCATCAAGTTGTCATGTTGTGTATGTGCGTACGAACGGCGGCGGAAAAAACTCCGCGTCGGAAGGTTGCAGCGGTGTGGCCCGAACCTCTCGTTGGTAGGCAAAATTGGTAGGCAAACAGCTATTCCAGGGTCGAGAGACTTGTCAATCCAGCTGTAGATTGGACGGGGCTTCAAATTGGTGGAGGATAGGCAACGTTTAGGCACAAACTCATCGAGAAGAAAATTGGCACCGGAAGCACCTGCTGCATGCTCGTGTTTCGTGCTTGAGAAGGCCGGTCACCGACACAGCCACACGTTAACCCAGGAGGCGCCAATCAAGCTGAAACTTGATGAGGGGGTCTAAAGTAGTGCAGGATGGCCGATGGTCTAATTCCTCGCGCCTGGGGCGCTCGGGTCGAAAAAGCGCGTGGTTCGAAGCCTTGGGGTGAACGGGACAGACACATTTTTTTTTTCCCTTCTGTGAGACCTATACATAGAGACCGTAGCGGTCTCTTAAAGGAACCGGGAATCCTTTAATTTCTTATCCCCCTGTACACCATCACGACTTTTTCTGGATCGACCTACATAACTCCAATATGATTTAGCGAGACTGCCCGATTTGCGTAACACTTCCAGAGCATTCGAGGCACATTACAAAGGCTGAACAAGGAAGATGTGCTCCTTAACCCCGTTTGTTTGTCCGAAAGACCATGGCATTTCCGAACAGGTGTGTGTTTGCTCGACAAACCGTACCTGCTCCCAGAGTTGCAGCTCCGTTTTGCGTTGTTTCGAGGCTTTGTATAAAATCAAGAAAAACACAATTTTCCCACCCGCTCGTTCACCCGGCTCTCTCTCGAGCTTCTTGGGCAACGTTTTTACCACATTTTTTGGGCTCGTCAACTCGATATCTACCTGTCACGGGCCCGCCACCAGGCAGGCACTTGTGGCAAGGGGATGGATGGGCTTCCGCACACCTCGCCACGCTTGCAGCAAGAGTGAAAAAGGCATGCATCTCTTCGTGTCCACGCGTCGTGTCCACGCGTTAGGGCTTACGTTCGCGCCGAGGCATCAGCTGCCCTTCGCGCGCGTGATAGCACGCGGTGACGCCGCGGACCTCCTCGAAGACGCACTCTTCCATATACGCCCTCCAATAATATAGAGTGGAGCTTTTTCGATCAGTTCCCGCAGTCGGTAGGGAGACGTCTGGAAAGACTAGCTCGTGCTTGATACACGGCGACAACACGCCGGCTTCCCACCAACCCAGCGCAACCTACCTGACCTTCTCCTGCACGCCTGCCCACCAACTCGACTCAACCACCCACCCCCGCTGTCGTCCGCGTTTGTGCATGGGGGGAGTGGTTGGTTGTTGTGACGCTTTTTCCCGCCGCTCCCATTCATCTACGCAAGTGATGGCTCTCACGGGCACAGTGGACATCAGTTCATCGCTGCGGTAACGTCACTCGTGAACTAACTGTCGATCCCGTGTGTCCCTCAAACAAAGATACTCTTTGAATGGCCTGTTGTTTTAAGAAAATGAGCGTTCTGACTTCTGTCCAGTTTCTCCTCTTCCGTACTTTCTAACGCAAAGAAGTCAATCCACGTACAGTACATGCGACCTGTGCCCGGAATAGGTTACGTGGAACAGGAGAGGTTAGTCCCACGCCTCACAGAAGGAGGCACAGTTCCTGAAGTACAAGCAGGACCTCAAGTAGCTACGTATGTTGTCCAGACTACGTACCGAATGAACCAATTAAAGTACGTATGCTGATGTCACCCCACCAGTACCGTGTACACCCCCCTGTTGACTCTTCGTCAACGTCTTATTGTACACAGGCAGACAGGCTGTCAATCCTTTCACCACACCGAAGCACTCACATGTTGAGAGTAACAAGCACCATTCCCCTGTGCATGCTAAAAAACACAGCCTGCGACCCCCCCCCACGTACGTTCGAGAACCCACGGCGCCCTTGCTAGTCCGCACCTTCTCGGCCTACTCACCGCTAGTGACGTTATTCATGAAACTTCAACCAGTGGTGGTGCGTGGGGGTGGATGGTTCCACCTCTTGCCTGCCTGAGGTACCTCCAACCTTTAACCTTGCGATCTACGTGCCTGTTGTGGTGTGGCGATTGACTACCAACAAGCACTTTCTAATATGATCCACCCGGGCCTTACCAACGCAGGCTCGGAAACATCGCCCAATAAGTACTGTGCTGTCGGGTCGTGTCCACGACGACGACCTCGTTGCCCCAAGTGTAGCCGTTCCTGATCGTTTCTATGCATACGTCGACATGATTTCAACTCCTCCAACCCCTGCCCCCCAACCCCAGCCTACGCTATACCTGCATGCAGGACCACCGCCGGACCCGCCCCGATCCCAATACAGACTGAAACACGTCTGCCACGTTTTCGTTCGACAAAGTACTCGCGACAGTACCCCTTGTGGCCGAAGCGTTCCCACGCGTGTGGAAAATACTGTGACCTATACGGGAAGATAGGTTGGTCCCTAAAACGTTGAGACGCGTGGGTAAACCGCCTGCTCACAGTTTCTTAGTGGTTTCCTTTGGGTTCACGCCGAAATTTCGTCACAAACCTTTCACTACAGCTGCAAGCTAAAGTCCTGATGGACGAACCAATATACCGTATATGAGTCAATGCCAGAGCTCGTCGCGAACGTTTCACCCACACCAAATTGACCGTCTTTCTACGCGAATTAATTCAACCTTCCGCCGAATGATCTTGTCAAACGTTTGTCTTCAAACGAAGTTGTTACCGCCATGAACACATCGCCATGCTACAATGCCATCCCAACACCGCAATATATTTACTCGTCGCCCGTATGTGGGCATTGATACCATGACGCCCTTGTTCATCGCGGAAAAATTCTGTGCCTGCCGCGATTTCTTCTCGACTCGAGGTCGGGCGCAAGCAAGCACGAATACGATTCTTGCTTCATCGTTCGAGCCCCTCTTGAATCGATTTTCAATGCCGTAAATGGTCTCACCATGTTTTACTTATCGTGTACTTCTGATACTAGCTTCCCGCCGTATAACCATCACGACAGCCATTCCTTCTTGAGGATACCCCCCGAAGTCGTTGCCACCTACATCGCCACAAAAACGCTTCACCGCTCGATTTCAGCGCAAGTACGGCGTTCCAGTACCGCCTCGATGTCGCTGCAACATATATCACCAAGGATCGACCGCTTGTTTCCTGTCCACCCTTGATGGTGTCCCCCTCAGACATCCTCGTTCCCACTCCTCTCTTTTCAACCGTCGTCAGTCGAACGAGAGTTTGGCCTCGGATGCCTGCGGTTAGCGTTCACTGCGTTGCCTTAGCTCCCGTTCTTGTCGTCGCCTGCCTTTGTTGAGAACAGCACGCCTGTGATCTGCTTGAACTGGTCCGTCTGCCGGAACTTGTCGTAGAGATTCTCTTTGAGCATCTTCCCGACTTCTTTGGCAGCGGCATCCAGACCTCGAGCTGCATCGTCCTGAAAGAGTTCGTTCACGCAGAAACAGTGCGCGACGGGCGGGTGAGGGGGGGTGCGCAAGGGTGAATCCTTGCAGCCGGGCATCTCGATGTGAAGCGCAGTCAACGGTAACGACGTGCACGCGTTCGAAGAAACGGAGACTAGGAGAAATACCCTATGGTTGAGGAACACGGAGGGCGTTGTATGCTTATCACGTGGCGTGCGGCAGGTCGGCCAAGGGTGGATTCCCGACCTAGGGCATCGTGTACGTACCAAACGAAGTTGTTTGAAGGCCTCCTTGTCGGTTCGTTTCATGATAAAGGACTTGGTCTTGCTCTCGATGTTGATCTCGAAGGGGGACCCGTCCTTGATGTACTTGTCGAAAATGTCCATGAACAGCGCGAAGTTGGTGTCCTCATTGGCAGTCGATGCATAGACAGAGTCATTGAATGCCCAAGCCGCTTTCAAGAACAGAATTGACTGCATGCGTAATGACATGGATACGGGCCAAGGGGAATGGGTGGTGGGGGGTAGAGGGGGGCATTGGCACAGCAACCAACAGTAGGAGGAGCCACGGCAACGACCGACTGTTCAGTGCAACAACGGTTTCTCCTCGTTCTCTAGCATGACCGAAACAAACAACGCCCTTTCCTTCGCCGCCTGCCTGCCTGCCTTCCACCCTTGCATTCTCTGGTGGATTGGAAACAGTTTTTTGTTGTTGTCGAGTCGACCCTCGAAGAGGGAGTTTCTACAAGCCTTATGTACCAGAAAATAGAACCATCTCGAGTAGGGGGCTACCCTTATAAAAAGTCCGCCCAACCTGTCGCTTATCTGTTTGCTGGCGTGTCTCAAGGTCGGTTTACATCTCGTGCAGAGTGTCGTGTAGAGGCACATGTTGAAAGGGAAGAGCGGCGGGATATTAGCTCTTACTCGTTGCGTACCTACACATGCGCATTAGGTTTGAGACAGTCCTGGTTGAATCTCACCTCGCTGCAGAGCGCCTTACGACAAAACTCTTCGAATGCCTCCAGGAGCACGGGACAGCGCAGAATCTCCTCCATCGCATCGTCCAACTTGACAGTGGATTTGCTACAATGCGTCGAGGCTGCCAAAACCATGCATTCAGCGGAATCGATCGCCACGGTGCCACCGTGCTTCCTCCACGGTACATACGGGAAGAGCTTGGCCATAATACCCCTGGTGTTGGGGGTAGCGTCCCTCCTTCCCAGTCTTTCTCTCGCTGGCTGGATGTTTCTGAATCGCGGAGGGCATTATGACGCAGTCGGGCAGGGAACGTCCGACAGCGTACACCTCGTTAGTCATATTGCTTGACGACTGAGCGGTATGTGTGCCTCACTGCGGCATCTAGCTAGTCCCCGTGATGCATTCTGCGCTCGCCGTGTTTCACGCTGGCTGCCGTGCGAAATATACCATGAGCATTGCATGTGCAGTAGAAGGACACATGTGGTGCTGGTCCGCGAATGATCGCATCAAAACAACCGGATGAAAGGCCAACACAGGAAGGTCCCCGTACCTCCTCACATGCGGCAGGTTCACACGGCGGAAAGCTTGACAGTAAATGTATAAGGGTACTGTGGTACGGAAGAGACGCAACGAGATGACCACGCCACAGTTTTAACCCCAGGATCATAATTTGTTTTAAGACAAATAAAGTCATCCCCGAGAAATTTCTGTGACTTCATTTACGCCGAGCCCATGGTAATCCTCGTAGAGGAACCAGAATCGGTGATTCGTGGTGTTGACAATGGTGGGCGACCTTACAGAGTACTTGACGAAAGCATATGTTTCAACAATCTTCTCATCTTTGCCATGGTGCCCCGGGGAAAGTTGACAACCACCAACAAACACTTTTCTTCGTCGCTTCGCGAACAAAACGTCCTTCGACGATTCTGGGGGCAAACGATAGTTATATCGTGTCGAAGAGTGGACTGGCACATGACGCCTGGTATGCACTCACGTTAACCACAGTATGACATGGAATCTGACCGTGTAGAACAGGACCAGGTAGAACTCTAACACCCCGGCCGGGATGGAGCCCAGAAACATGATCATCACTGTGTTGTCCGTACGGTACGTGGAAGCACGGCAGGGGCGCGAAGGAAACAAGGGTTGGGTTAGTTGTCAAAAGAAGCTCCAGCACGGCCACGAGCTAAGGTAAGGTAGAGCCGGTCAACGTACAGTAGTACGAGGTCCCATCTCTGTTCGCACAACACGGGGTCAACGGAGATATCCATGACACGTGGCTGTTCAAGTGTGCCATTTGCACTCGGGGCATGACATATGTGCGCCTTGCAGCGGATGGTGGCTCATCTAACGCAGATTTGATACAACATCTCGACCAAGCTGCTAACAAGGCCGCAGCCCTGCAGGGGCGTATCTTGACACTCATCGGTGACATGTATGTAACCACACACACACACACCGACGAATGACGTGGACAAGCGAAACATACGTTTTCGGAAGGGGGCCTGGACTGGCGAACACGAACAACAATGTTCAGTGCAACCCAGGGGAGCGCAAACAAGTGATGGGTGCACTCATTTGGCGTGCGCGCCTGAGCTGACAGTAGCTTACACAGACCTGCACGAAGAACGTTATACCACCCAAAGACCACCCTGACGCAGGGTTGGGGATAGGATCGAGACTGGTCATATTTTCTCCTGTTTTAGTCCCTGTGTGGGGTGTATTCGGCCCATGAAGTGTCTGGGTGCACATGACTTATTTGCGCTCCATCGAGTGGAAACCATATTTGGAGAATACCACGAAGGCCATCTCCCGGCATTTTGGAGGAAGAGCGAAAGGATGCGCGAAAGCGTGCCCGTGTGGCAAGACAAAAGAGAGCAGGACTCACGAACGTTGTTGAATGTCAATCAACCCGGGAAAAACACGGGACCCGTCGAGAAGGAGAGGAGCATCATGAATGGGTGTCATCATCTCTTCCTCTTGAAATGTTTCATAGTGAGAAAGAAAGTAATCGCCAAGCTAATGGGACCACTACCGCACAACAGTGCCTAATAAGAGCGGATACCGTATATGACACAAGATAACACACCCCCTGGACCGATTTTCAGAGCTCGATTACTTCACGACGAAGAGGATGCGTGGACGAAAGGATACATTTTCAGAGAGCTGTCGACCAGACGGCTTCAACGCCGCCGTTTTCGGCCCTGCGACTGTTGCTGCTGTTGAAAAATCGAGCTTTGAAAATCGGTCCAGGGGGTGTGTTATCTTGTGTCATATACGGTATACGACCATGACCAGCGATAGTCTGTTGTCAAATATGGCAAAATCCTATGGAGCACCAGGGTGTTGATGATGAATCTATCAGGAGCAGAACCACATATCCATCTCGAAATGAGAAAGATGATGCATCTATCAGGAGCAGAATCACATATCCATCTCGAAATGAGAAATGTTTCAATTCTGAAGAAGGTAGACGCGGCAAACGAGCACTCACCCGAGGTGAGCAACGCGCAAGCCCCGGCTCTTTGTATCTCCAAGGATACCTTGAACACGTCCTGGGTCCGGCGCAGCTGACCGAAAAGTGCGAGGGACGCACTCAGGGTGACGACGGTGTCGATCTTAACCACTGTGACCATGAAGCTTGCGACCCTGTGAACGTTTCATGTGCATGCCATGCACGGTGTAGATTCAAGTTACTGGATTGGGTCATCATCGGCAAGAGTCAACAGGGCGTATTCCGGGGAGGCTCACAACGCTTTAGGGTGCTGCCTGTGTTGGCACGGTCCTTGTCTACTGATTATCCCGAAGCGTCGTAGTCAGGATGAAGACAGGTTGAGCAGCGCAACTCATGATCACATTCCACCCTCATGGCTGGGAGAAGAGAGCAAACACCAAACACACGGCTTGCGGTGTTACAAGCTGAAACGCTTCCCGTCCTCTGTCGCTCTTTTTCTAGACACTAAATGAGCCTCAAAATCGGTCCATGCTAGCTCTGGCGTCGTCATCTCGATTGTGCAAACAGTGTTTTGTGTGTACGGTTGTGTCGCAGAAGGTAGCCCCGATCTCTCCAGTCCGAAAACTGGAACTCATCAACCATGTGTATTGGCTGACAGCAAGCCCCGCCCCTACCCTTACGCCCTTCTTTTTCAGAAAACTTCACAAGGAGTCGAGGTATTATATCACAATTGTGTCGGATACTCGAGGGAATTGCGGTCGTTGTTTGGATCCCACGAACAAAGTTTGACTTGGGGGCGGATACTTGTAAGACGCTTGCAACCTGCCCGCGGGGGTGCATCTCGTTTCACTGAGAGACTCCGGTATTCGCACGCACAATCGACAACTCGTGCCTTCTACACGGAGCACATAACCGCACTAGAATGACACAAATATGGTTGGGGCTTAAACGTGCGCCAAAGCGGCTCGGTTTTGCACAAGGACGAAATCGTGTGGTCTACTCGGTTTCTCGACGACGGGGAAGTGACCAACGCCGAAAATTATGGCGCACGAACGGCCTGTCGTCGAAGGCTTGGGATAAATGTAGTGTTCAATGCCGTCGTACCATTCCCGTACTCTGTGCGACAGTGTACTAGGTAGGGACGAAAGATTGGTGTGTTGGATCATCTTATGGTACAAAGATATTCGAGGTCCTGACCAATGGGAGATATTCCCCATCTATCACCTTGCAAGTCCGACGTGTCGTACAACAATCCATGCGGCAACCTCCACAATCACGTAGGCGGTCAGCAAGACCTTGACCATGGCGGCTTCTTTCTTGAGGTATCTTCCCCAGCGCTGCCGACGAGAAGGGGTGTACATGACGATAACACGGAGGCCCCGTAAAATGTACGCCACGACGAGGCAGAGTGCCGTCAAGGGAATGCTGAAGATCCGCAGAATAAACAGGGATCGAAGCCCAGGAAACATGACGGTGCGCGACACCGCCGTGCTCCCGGCCAGCACACCGGCAAGGCCTGATGCTGTCATCAGGACGGGAGACCTGTTGTCGATTGGTTGCAGACCGAGAGGGCCGGGAGAGGCGGAGAGGATTAGAGAGACCCCGTTGTTGGCATGTATCATGAGCTGTCTGAGACCGCAACCACACCGCATGATTTATTCGAGAAACGCAAAAGTTGTGTTTCTCTGGTGTGTTGTAAGCCTTGTGTGCGCCTACTACGCTCTGTTCTCCCGCCGAGAATCGGCTCGTGCGACAGCCCTGTTCCTTTGTGCTGGGGATGAGTCTCAAGGGCGTTCATTGCCTCCAAATAGCCACTGTTGTGGGCGTTTGAAGCGCAAGGGGCCTGGTCTACGTAAGAGCTCTGGGACGGATCTCTATCCGCACTCGATTTTGTCTTGACACTCTACACTGTTTTCCTCTCGAAGAATCTTCGCTGAAGCATGCGACGAGAGACCACAACAAGCTGTATGTTGTACGATGGGATGGAATGCCATCATTTTCATCGTCAGTCCAGCCTTCGTTTCATTGCCGGTGGGCAACCGACACAGCCCACCTCTTGACCCATATTTGATGCCCTTTTTTACACGAGCAGAACAAGGGTCCATGAATAAAACAGGTGGGGGGTCAAACACGTCACCCATCAAGCAGGTAATTGCTGCTGTGTTCGCATGTACTGTAGTCCAGCACAACAAATGGTGTGAGGTACGAGGAGGTGAGCGAGGAGATGCATGCCACTGCATGTGTTTGATAACAACACTGCATACATATTCTAACGGACACGGCGAGAGTATGCACTATATAACAGGGGTGTGGGAAACTCTTATCTCTCGAAGACTTGTTGTGCATGTCGTGGCCGTCAGGCTTGTTGTTGTTATGTTCCCATTCAAAACCGTTCATACTTGTACAACAACCAAATCAAGCATACATACTTCGAAAACATGTGCACGAATGAGTAGTCATTCTGTGTGTGTATTTATGTTTCCTTAATAATATAATGCATAGTTGTTGCGTTGGTTCGGTGTCGAGGTTGACAAAGTGGATGACCACGGATCGGATCAATTAATTTATAAACCGCATGAATCTACAATATATCCTTGTACTCTACCACACCGGGGTTACACACTTATAAATATGATGGGTGTGGGACTGTGACGGTTTATTTGTCGGTCATAGCCTAGTCATGGCAACACGTTTGTTTGCAACGAGGCAAGGGTTTGCGCAAAATCAACAGCTAGATGTTGTTTGTAAATAACGTAGGCTACAGTATGCAACACACACACACACCTGACGGCAAAGTAGAAATCCTTCCTCAGCACCCAGGTTGCGCTGATGTGACTGAGGGTGACCAAACAGTACACGTTTGTCAGGCACACGTACCCTACGCGGAGCACCGTGATGCCGGCAGAAACCATCTCTAACTTCGTCGTACACGCGTCTACTCGAACACGCAAAAGCTTGTTTTCATGTAGACCGCAACAAGCAGGAGGAGAGAATGCAGGAGACAATGCCCGAAAGACTAAAACTACAGTAACTCCCGTAGTTTTCGAGTTGCGTTACAGTACGTTCAATACCGTAGTGACGAGACCTTGCCAGCAAAGCAGGACAGTTGACGGTTGATTCTCTTCATATGCGCACTGCCAAACCCGCACGCACGCAAGATGGCGTACCAACTCGACGAGGTCGACACGAGCGGTGGGACTACCGAGCCCATCGCACGAGTAGACCAACAAATGTGTACAGCTTTGAAACGGAACATCACCTCGCCGACACAAACTTGTGCAAGGTAGCAGCCTTCATCGACACGTGCAGGTTTGTTCTGTTGCTACCGTTTCTGTCTTTGATCCGGAGAATAGCCTAGCCCCCCCCTCACGGGGTCCCAGTTGTAATGGCGTTTAGAAGTGTTTTTTTGTGTTTTCAACCACACTGACACTGACGTCTTTTCATTGGTCAGACGGTTGGCGCGGTCGATGCTAACAGTAAAAACACAAACAAACGAACATGCACGGGTTGTTTATTAACAATACAAGGCAATTATCAACGTGTCTTCCCACCCTTTGGTACACTTCGCATAGATAGACATACACACACGCGGCTACTACATGAGGTCTAAGGACATGTACACCTGTGAGCGACACTGGTTCTTCTCCGATAAACACTCGCGGCGATTGTAGCTAGTAGTTTCAACATTCGTGTCTGGACGAACGACCAGCTGCGGCTGGCGTCAATCAATCTCGCCAAGTTGTAAAGTCTGCACAGGCTCTGCGGCATTTCTGTCAAGTTCCCTGATTCACGGCGATTATTGTTACATACTCTCCCTGATTCCTCATCCACAGGAATTGCCAGAGAATTCTACAAAAAAACAGTGACCACACGAATGAATGCATGCCAGTTAGACTTCCATTTTTCGCCCGACCAATCAGTTTGCCGCGCGCCAGCGAATGAAAGTACATACCCAGCGGTCAGCCTAAAATGTTCATCCGAACGGAACTTATCGTTCAGCTTCATCGACTCTTGAGGCCACGCCCCAGGTGAATACCTACCTCACCTACAAGTATCTGTACAAGTGATGACAGACGAAGTAGCACTGCTGGTAGTCCCTGTTGCCACTATTTTTATGTATGCATAGATACACCGCTGTTGTAGCGTGGATGCGTGTGCTGGTTCGCGTTTCTTTGAAACGTTTTTTTTTTCTCACCGAAAAGACTCCACCACATCCGTTCGAATCTGGGTATATCTCGAACGGGTACATGTAGTCTTTCTGTGTGTGTATTTATTTTTCCTAATTATGACCCTGTTACCCAAGGGGAGATAATCTATCTGTGCTGCTCGGGGAACCGTGGGAAAACAGAACTTTCGCTGATGCTATATGGATTTATTGCTAAGCTATCAAGACTCTTTTCTGCACATCAGATGTAGATAGAGATGGATTCGATGGGTCATGCCGAGAAAATAAAAGATTATGACACAACGAGACTATCTCTATCTTATAGAAAAGAGTAAGACAGATCGGCAATTTTTCCTAAAAAATAGGATGCATAACCTCGCAGAAAGTGTGTGGTTATGTCTCGACGGGTAGTTTTTCCGTGGGTGCATCGAAATCCGAACGTGTTGCCGGTGGCACGATAATTTACCGGGCACCGGTACTATTCAACCGGCAATAAAAAGGGGCCTCTTCTGTTGCAGATTGAGCAGAGGACGTCTCGCCCACCCAGCATAGCAAGGACCTCCAGGGAGTCCGACAGCATTTGTGCAAGAAATCATTTTCCGTAGTAAATAGACTGTTCATTGTACCAGAGTTAGTTCCTTTCCATGACTGACACTCTCAGCGCGGCCAAGATCCAGGGGCGAGGACCGCCTGCTTTCGGGGCAGGAGGTCTCATCCAATCCAATGCTCAACTCAAGTGATGACAACGCGAGAATAAATTACTCTTGTACGCACGTTCTTGTCTCAAACGATTGATTGTTGGTGGTTGTGGTGGTTGTTTCGTTTTCACTTAAAAAATTGAGAACCAATTCGCTCAGTACCTTTTGACATCCGTTCCGGTCCAACACGGGCGCCTTCCGCAGTCACAGGTCAACTACATGCTCCAAGAACGCATGGACACAACAATGCATCGTCGTAAATGTTCGCCTATCGTGAGGGTAGGCATGGTTACCATCCCGCCACGAATGGCCAAGCGCACAACCACCGAACGGATAATAGAAAGCCATCTATAGTCGGATTACCGGTAAGATATGCCGGGGTAATCTATGCCAGCACACCCTTCCCCGCAGTTCTCCCTGACCCTAGAGGGAGTTGGGGCGCAAGGGACAAGGGACAACTTACGCGAAGCTGAACGACCGCCGTGCGTGGAATACTCTACTTGACATTTTGATTCGTGTTTGACTTCTGCTAGACCTCGCCTCCAATCCTTAATCGGGCAATGATCAAGGGCGCTACCATCTCTTCTGCTGCTCAAGAAGTACCTCAGCGTGCCGTCGGTGACCTTGCGCGCCTCTTGTACCCGACTCATGCCCCCCGTCAAACCGGCAATAACACATCGGGTTAAACGCAGTACCACCACCAACCCTGCTGCACCGTCTACAAAACACCTAGACCTATCCTGCGAAAGAACTGTTCGTTGGCAGCAGCACAGCAGACGACGGTGCCCTTACTAGACTACATTTCATATTGTATGATGCAAGACAAAGCCGCAATTCTAGTTAGCGATCAACAGAAGATGGCAGAAGAACGCAAGAAAGAACGGCCTCGACAGCACTACTAGCGGTGAGTGTGGTGTCAAATCGTGCGTCGCCACCGACGCGAATCGGTCGTGCCTCGCGAAACAAGGGCAATCAGAGAGCGACCGCCACAAGACAAGAGCAAGTCCACACGCCAAAGCTCTCGCTCTCTCGGGCTAGTACTGCACCTAACCGCCGATCTCGCAACAAGCCCTTGCTTAAGCATGCTCACCGCCGACAAAAAGTTACCACCAACATCATCCCGGAAGTAGATTTCTTCATCCCTCCGCGCTCTTTTCCAAACGGTTGCCGCCGTGATTCATGCCATGCGAGCGTTCATATCTCCGTCGCTAACAGCACATCCCCCCCATCCCCCCCCCGCGGGCAAACTACTACTTCGTCGACGACCCTTCTTCTCTGCCTCCACCTACACCTCAATGGCGTACTTAATCTTGGGTGCTGACGATGACGACGACGACGACGATGCTGCCGCTGCTGCTGCCGCCGCCGCCGCCGCCGCCGCTCTAGGGTCGCCTCCTCCCGCCGCTGCCGCCGCCGCCGCCGCTGCTGCCGCCGCCGCCGCCGAAGCGGAAGGCGCCCCTGACGAGTTCCCTAGCAGCCCCAAGCCGAGAGGTTCCAACATCTCCTCCTGATCATCGTCCATGGCGCAGATCTCGCGATACCGCCGCTCGTCGGCCTGCACGCCGGTGGGACCGGGCGAGAGGAGAGAGCCAACGACGGGCGAGAGCGAACACGGGAGGCGGGGCACGGGGGAGCGCGGGCGGGAGAGGGCGGGGAGGGGGGTGTCAGCTGGTGATACTCCGGCAGTGCGTGGTGGTGCTCGTCGGAGGTCGGTTGCGACGAATTTCGGCAAGTCGCGGGAAGTCGGTGCCTCCACCCCAAGGCGTCTCATACTTGTAGTCAGTAATTTACCTGCCCTTTCGCCATCGAAAAACACCGCGACCCTCCTGCGTTCTTCACAACCACCCTCGATTAGCAGGAAAATAAGGAAAGGACCGCCCGGTGTCATCCCAAGTGACTGCCTTTGATCTCGCCGATATCCCTAAACAACCAACCCTGGGGTCGAGGGACTGACTCCTACAGTGCCTCCCGTTGCAAACACATTAAAAACAACAATGTTAACTCGTCCTCCGCCTTACAGCGGGGTGAAAAAGGGGTAGCCAAACTAATACACCCCGATCCTTGCGTCCCACCCCCACTCCCTCCGCATCCCCTCCACAAAACCCTTTCAAAAACAACACACACATGGCCTTTAGAAGTTCTTTCTGTACTATCCGCACTGAGACACTCAAATATCTGTTCACCGGCCAGCCGATTAGCGCGGTCAATGCAAACAACAAAGACACACACACCAAGCCTTTCGTCGGTCAGCCGGTTAGCGCGGTCGACGCTAATACACACACACACGGCTACGATGATCCCACTCACGTTGAGGTTGACCATCGGCGGGTGCAGGACGTGAGCCGAGGGAGGCTTGAAGGGGAACTGGACGTAGCTGCTGTGCACCACCACAGGCGCCTCTTCCGGGTCCGCTAGCCCGTCCTCTCTCGCGGGTACCGCCCCCCTCACCGGGACGCGGTCCCAGATCACCCGCCCGCCTCGGCCGATCCTGCCTCGTCTGGTGTGGTGGTGGTGTTGGAGTGGTGAAGGCAGTGGTGGTGGAGTAGTGAAGGCGGTCATGGCGGACGAGCGTAGTGGAACAAAGGGCGAATTGGACGAGTGGTGGGTCAGTAGCAACGGCAACAGGCCGGGGGCAAAAGGTGAGATACGGGTGTACCACAAGCACGTGCTCCGCGCTGGTCGGGTACGAAAAGCAAGCAACAAGGAAGGCCGGCCCAGACATACATACGCGGCTAAGGCCAACATACTACAAAGCGAGGAATGAAAAAACAGTCAACCCTGTTTAAGCGGACGAAAAAACAGCCTTACCCCCCCAAAAAAACACGGCGACGTCAAAAGAAAAAAAACATTGTCGGCGAATCGTGCACGAGAGACCGCAAGCTGGCGCGAAAGTAAAAGGGAGAAGGGAAGGGGTCACTGCGGCGAGAAGGGTGTACTCACACGTGCTCCGACAAGACCGTGCTACTGAAAGGACCGACCACCAGGACACACAAGAGAAAAAGAAAAAAGAAAACGTAACCTCACGACCTTCGCACTCCACACACCTATTGGCGGCAGCAGCAGCAGCAGCAGCACCACCACCACTATCACCACCATAAACAACATGGACAACAAAAGCTCCCATCAACCCGGCCAACAAGCAGCCCGCACCACCGAAAAACGTGAACCATTGCGCTCGCAAACCGCCTGCCGTACAAGAAACATGACAAAAAAAAAAAAGAACCGCACCCACACTCCAAAAACTCACAGTCTGAATTTGTACACCGGCTCCACTCCCACGCGCGCCTTCCCTTTCCCTCCCCCTGGGCCACCCGTTCTTTCTCTTTCTCTCGCCCCTCCCCTTCCTTTGCCCTTGGCGTCGCGCCCCCCTAACGCCGTGTACACCGCCAGAGCCGGCTCCACCACCGTCCGGACCGGTATGCTCTCCCTCGTCTTGAGGTCGTCCATGAAGGACGGCAACACGGTGACGTGGGACCCGGGGATGATCCCGAACGACCCCCCCCCGTCCTCCCCGACGGAGGCGACGCCTCCTCCCGCCGCCCCCGCCCCCGCCCCAGAGTAGCTGTCGCCGTCCTCGTCCTCGTCCCCGTAGTGGTCGTCCCCCCCCATGCTGCCGCCGCCACCCGCGTCCACCCCCCCCCCGGCCGCCCTCGATGCCCGTTCTCGCTCCTTTCTCTTCTTGGACTTGCGGGAGGACGTCCGCTCCCCATCCCGGCTCCGCTCCAACTGCTGCTGGGAGGGGATACGCAGTGGGGAACGTAGAAAAAAAAAAGGGGGGGGGGATCACGAGAGTTGTTCCGCACAAGAAGATTCGATCAACTGGACGGGTCCTTCTGGGACAGTATACTCGCTCGGCAAAATAACGGCGTGCATCTCGGCTTAACCTTGCTTGCTATTGAGATCGGAGCCCTGCGTCCTCACCCCCCTCGACATATCGCTCTGTCCCGGCATGCGAGGTCTAAGGTCTACCGACCGCGTACCCCCAGACCTGATCAAGCATTTAGAATCCGCC